TAAAGACTGATATTTTCTTTTGTGGATACTCTGGGTACTCATATTTTTTTTTTATGAGAAATTTGTAGTGATGAAATTCCTTTCACTTCCCATTCAAAAGCTGTGGGATTAGCTTCTATTCCCTGAGAAAGTCAAGAAGTGTTGACAGGTAGCAACTCAACACAGTGGAATTTTTTGGGTAGTCTAGTGCAATCATTCTCAGATGGGGAAAAATGCTTCCTCTCCTGTATGTTTGGAAGGGTAAAGGCTTACCCTTTCAGATGGCTTGTTGGATGGCAAATACTGCTAGGTCAAGAGGCTGGATGAACTCTAGGTCATCCTCTTGGGGAACTGTGCCCATGGATTTCCTCCTCCTTTTGTCTCTCCTCGTCCCCCACTCGGTACACACATGCCCCCTTTTGCACTTTGTTGCAGGACAGGGCAGGGGGAGGAAGAAGGGGCTGCCCAGGGACTTGTAGGGCAGGGTGCAGTGCTACTTTCTCATCTCTGTAATGGGGGCGGGAGAGACACTCAGTGTACCCTGGATTATTTCTTTTTTCCTAATAGAACTTAAAATAAATGTAGTATAACCAGAAAAGATCAACAATTAGCTTTTGAGTCTTCTCCATGTTAGAAAAGAACTAATACCAGGCTTACGCATTACCTCCACTGATCATCTGACAGCCAATGTGTTATAAATTCACGGTCACAGCATTCTTTTTTTTCACTTAAAGCACATGTGAAACTTCTTAATTTGAACAAACATACATATAAAACGTTGTCATCACCTAGAATGACTCTCTTCAAAGTAATGATAAGTTTGGATGTATATATTACTCAAAAATAAAGGATTGAATTATACAAAACTAAGCAATTGAATTGAGGCTTCTTTTCTAAATCAGCCAGTTGATCCACTTGGTGAAGTTTTAAAGGAGTATCAGAAGGACTACCCTGTTTTACTATCCTGTCTTAAAAAGTTCCTTTTGTAGAATATAAGAGATGGTGTCATTATGAAATGGAAACGCTTGCGCAGCCAGGCATCAGAGCAATGCAGCTCAGAGTAAAATTGTACTTGCCAAAGCTTTGCCCCAGATATGTTTCACATAATTTCAGTATCTTTTTATTCACATGTTTTCTGTTACTAAAAGGAAATTGATGCATTTTCCCATCTTACTTTCTGTACGAATATCAAAATATGCTGAATACCTTTATTTGTGGTTAACACATATAGCGCCTGCCTTTGCTATTCATCTTGATGACTGTACTTTCGAGAAAGACTCTCTTACATTTTTATTCTATATTTTTTTAGAATTGATGAGGTTGAGCTTAAAAGTGGGACACCCCCCCCCCCCATACCAAAAAGGAGGGTATTTTTCTTTAGCCAGACATATCTATTTCATCATAGTAAAAGATGAACCAAGATGTGTCACAGATTTCTTTATCAGTTTCTTCTGATGACTAGGTAGGTTTCTTATACAAGCTGGGGTACTTAGTTAATAGTCTGACAGCAGAAAAGGAACACAGGAAGGAAGAATAGCTGTACATCTAAACACCTGTGCCAGTTTCCTTAAGCAGCTGACCCCTCTAATAAGTAATGTGAATATTGAAATTGCTAATGTACAATTTTCCATAGATTTTTCTTTTAGGCTTGTGAGTCTTTAACATATATAGACACTATCATTATTTTGTTTAAAGTATTAAAAAGATGTATCACAATAAAGGCCAAGTCAGTGCTCAGGTCTGTCTTTACCCTAATTGAGAGAAAAGTCTTAGAGCAAACTCAGGGCCTGTATTTTTGGAAGCAGCCTGGGTGGTAGGCATGCTTGTAATAGCCTGGGGCCAACTAACCTATTGTAATAAAATGCTGTTCATTTTCTCTTATCCCTGACATTGTTTTGCTCAAAACCATAGGAAGTAATTAAGATGGAAATGTCGTTCATCTTCAGATGAACTGGGATGATGGCCACAAAAGGGCAAGAGTGGGTTGCAGTTTGGTACAAGTTCTGATAGGATAGGGTGGATTTTCAATATGCACAGTTCTCCGTGTCAGCAAAAACAGGCCATTACAGTTTTCTGTGATGTTCATAACTAATTTAATGGATGTCCTGATATAATATGCTATTCAAGCCATACCCATTTTGTAATTGTAGTCTTAGCTCAAATGGTGACTGTGGCAATCTGTTTTTATTTCCAAAATGGGCTTTTTGATTTCATACTGTATTGCAAAGTCATTTACCCCTATAAATATGCATTTCATAAAGAAGTGATTGAGGATTATTAAAAACTCCAATAAAACTATGAAAAAAGAAAAATATTTGCTATAATTGGGTCATCCGTTATTACATTTTTTCCTCCAAAAGGGGATGTATATTTTTGAAAGCTTTTTTGTTGTGATTTATCACACACAGTATTTCAAGTATAAGGCAAAGCAACTAAACTTTTCAATTGAACATGAAATGGCCACGCTGTGCTTTTGTGCCTGCATGGCCATGGGGTATCGATGACACCTGAAAGAACATTATACATGCCAGAGGGGTCCTAGAAACCATATAGAGGATTGCCCTTGGTGGCTTCCTTATAAAGCGCTTCTTTTCATGATTCTTTTTTTAAAATGCAGAGAGCTTTTATCTCTGAAGCTAATCTGCAGACTTATTTTGCAATTTTTGTAAGGTATATTTTCATGTTAAAGGTTCTAGCCTTCCTGCACCTTTCAGTTATTTAATTATAAAAGTAATATCTACCCAGGGAAACCAACACATATGTGAAATTAGGAAGATGCCAAAAAATTATTTGGTTTTAATGGCTGCATTGTCCACATTCACTATTGCAGATTCATCATTTTCTTCTTGAAAGTCATGTGATTCAAAGGCTGTTGCTGTTGGAATCCAAAATGTTTGTGTCACCCTGTCCTTTATGAATACAATTCAGGAGCTGACAGGAGATAAAATAAAAGTCAATAAAAAGAGAATTATTTATTAAAAAGGTCTAATGTTACAAGAACAGTACACAGGAACTATTATATTACTGTGTCTTCCACATCATATATACCGTTATATATAGCATATATACAGATTGTATACAATATATCTAACATTTTGATATGGGCCATGACAGTACCTTTCTTTTGGTCTGCAAAACAAAGTTTCTTTCTAATTAGTTTTTTCCAGACAGGTCTTGTGGCATTATACAAAAATACAGTCTCCTCAGTGACGCTAGACTGCACTATTACAATCTTTTACATGAAAAAGGAAAGACCTCTCCATTGCAACTAAAAAATAATATGTCATGATAAGGAAACATCTTCTTCTACAAAGTAACAAATAGGTAATACATAAGTACTTAAACATTTAAAACATGTTTATTAATATATTTAAGATGCAAAATACGTAGTCTGTTCATGTTGAATATAAAACATACCCCTTTTTGTCCCTGCAATACAACTACATTACCTGATGGTATGTTCAGTCTTTCTATCTGTATCTTGACACTAGAGATTGAGATATAACTAGATGCAGCTCTATCTCCTTATTAGACTTTCGTTCTTCTTATAAAGCATAGCCATTTATTGTATTCAGAAAGTTGTTTGACCAAAACGCCACCAGCAGTGACTGTAGCCTTTCTGAATACTCTGAAATAAACTGCATTGGCAAGCAGCTGTACAAAAAATAGAGGAAATTATGCTTAACTAATTTATAAAATAGCCATTTTGCTTTTTGGTTCATCACTTGTTGATTTTAACCTTTTTAAAAACGATGGTTTGCTAATGCAAGTGCTCTGCACAGTAGCAATGCTGCTGTTTTACAAATGACAGCAGGTAGTTATTTTCTATGAGTTTGCTCTATCAGCAAGGTACATGCCACCTTCCTTTCTTTGATCTCAAAGGCTTTTACAGAAGCAAAGATATAGAAGGTCTCCTTCTGTCTGTAGCTACAGTCTATGCTCGTCTAGCTATCCTGCCGTTGTTTTCCTAGCAACGTAGTGACTAAGTAAATTTAAAATCTATTTTTTAGAAAAGTATTTAAAATATTAGTGGGTAATAAAGATTTGAGTTGAACCCCTCTGAAAAATTTTATGGATAAAATATTCAAAAGAGAAAAAAATTTAGTCATCAGTCAGCTTTTTACCTACCAAGCACTTGACCTGTGTTGTGCTTTCTTGGCTACTATTTTAAAGCTGCTAAGGGCGGGCACAGTTAGAGTGTACTAGCTAAATGCCAAGTATTATTTTGCTAGTGAGCTGGCAAAATAATAGCATTTTAGAACCAGAACCCATCAACCAAAATAGATTTACATCAAAAATTTTAGAGGGGTGGACAGCTAGAAGAACTATGCTATTAGGAGTTGCCTGTTAAACTCTTTTGACTTGATTTTTCCCAGGCAAGGGAATTTTCATCCTGGGTGCGATCCCTAGACACAAGGTAGTAAAACACCCTCCCTCATAACACCATGCACACCATAACTGTACAAACACGCACACCATATACACTGGGGATCATTTTGATTCAGGGGCCAATGTGCGGAAAGGCCTTCCAATGTAGAAAAATTGTCCAAATTGTCTATTGAGTGAAAAATTGTTTGGTACAGCAAAAAGTGGGTATTAAAACTGATAGCACAGTCCTACAAGAATAATCTTGTGAGCTACAGAAATAGAGCCAATTAGCTAAATAACTGGAATGATGCTCAGTATCACTTATCCAAGTATTTTTTTTCAGACACAGCATTCTCCAAAATATATCCTACTGGAGTCTGTATATATGTGAATGATTACATTCCAAAAAATGTTAATATTCTCTCCATAATATGCTTTCATATATACTTTAACTTGACTACCAAATATATAAAGCACTGAATGTTACTAAAAAGTGGACTCAGAGGAAAAAAAGTTACAACTGGGAAATTGTTGGAAAAAGTAGGTTTATCTCCTTGCATTGCTTTATTTGTTCACTTAGCAGCCTAATGTATGTCATGTTTAAATGCCCAGTGGAGTTTTCCTTGTCATATGCGTTAGGAATTGATTTTTTATTTGCTATTGAAAATCAATATTTGATTCATTTGACATTAAATCATACGGTATTTGATGAAAAACAAACTTGTTTCCTTTAAGTTTGTGTTTAATCATTTTCCGTTTACCTTGCAATAAAATAAATGGCTTCTTTTCTGCTCCATTTTGCCACTTTGAGTGTGCTGTCTGGTATTGACAATTCTTTTTGCTAATTAAATACATATGCATACATTTTCAGAACAAATTCTCTGTACTTTTGCAGTGGGCTGTATATCTAAACTATATTTTTCTCTCTTGTCAGTTGGAACAGCCAGCCATAGGGGATGCAAGAAAAGTATTTGACAATGTTGTATCAAAATTTGTTCTATATTTAAAAAAGAATTTTTTTCCAAACCAAACAGATGTACTGTACTAGACACCACTGTTTAAACACCTAATGATACATGACTGGGGTCACCAAAATCAAACATATTAAAAAAGTAAAGTACGTTTGACAGAAATTACGTTTCCTTACAAAAGTTTATTACATACAATCTGCATATTTTTGGGCCAAGAAGTGTCCCTTCCCCAGAGGACTTTTACAAAAAATGAAAAGAAAAAAACCTGATGAATTATTAACTGTGTCTCCAACACTCCTCTAAGTGCACCACAGGCATTTCTATGGATCTTTAAACATTAGCGTGGGTTTCCAGTTTCTCCACAGACATAAAACTCCATCCCTTGGTGTCATCAAGCTAAAGCAAACAAATAACAACAACAACAAAGTCTGCAGTCTTCACCATGAGGTTGAAGGAACCATCAGTGCCAAAAGCAATGTTACAGAGGACGAGGAAGTGGACAACACATGTAAGGTGGATTGAGCACTTGTTACTTTTCCTCCTGAAATGAAAAGCAAAGTAATTAAGGAACAAATGATGCAAACAGTTCTCAGTACACTTAGGTACTAGATTTTGCCCAAAACTTGTATTCTACTACACTGAGCAAAAGCCTAACTTTTAGGCAATGGATTACCTTGTGAGAACTGCAATCATAAAATAGGGTCCCTACACAGACATGAGGAAAATGGTGATTTTATGATGATATCCACAGAAGCTCACATGCTGAATCCTCATATTCAGTCTGCAAATGAATATTCCAAATTCCAAAAGGGATGTGGTTTTATGCCTTAATCCTCAAAAAGAATTAAACTGCAGAAGATGCCCTGAATCACAATCACAAATGTTCTTCCTGAAACAAGGAATGAAAGCTAGCCCTTGATCTTGTTGTTTGTCCAGAGGAAAAAGCGGTCTTTTGCCCAGTAGCCCAGTGATGGTTTTAGATCACAGCAGTCCCTTAAAAAGCCTTGCCAAGGGGAAATATGCTATGGCTGGCAGTGGCAACAGATCACAGGACAGGAAGGGAACCAGACTGAGTTTCTCTGGACCACAGTTGTCCTAAGTGGAACTGATCTGTTGTGTACAGTCTAATAAAAAATACCAGGTTAGAGTGAATGAAAGATTTTGTGGGCTAGAGTTATGGCTCAAAAGATACATGAAACAAATATTCCATGGAGTAGAGGCTGGTGTCTTCTGCATTCTGATGACAGCACTGTAGTTTGTGACTAGATTAGAACTGAAATTTTAAGTCTAGATTGAATTTTCAGGGTCACATCTTTTGAATAATACTCCTTAAAGACTAAAAAGCAGTGTCTAGTAGAATTTTAAAGTGTTAGCAGAAAGTTAGAATTAAGATGCCTCGTTGTGTTTAGGCAAAAGACAATGTTATTTTCTGGTTGTTCTTGCCACTAATCCTTCCATCCCTTTCTTACCTGTGTAATATTGATACTTTAAATTCTTTCAACCTATTGCAGTAACTGAGGAAATAGAAGCTAGACATCATAATTTATTTCATGATAATACATTAATACTGTAATACAATAATAATTTAGTGAAGCAATATCTACTCAAGGGAGTCAATGGAACCTACAGAGAAATTCAGCTTATTCTAAAGCAGGCACATACACAGGGTTCAGCTACCTAAATGCATGCCATTTTAGCTGTGTTAGATATAGTACACCTCTGCTGGTTGTCCAGAATGATGTGCGTATCCTCTAAGTCCCCCATCATATCTGCCAGCTCTGTGAAAATGTTTGGGATACCTTAGGACATCTCAGATGTCCTTATGTGCCTATATCTGAATATTTAAATTCAGAAGATCAGCTGAACTGCTGTCTAAGCTCCACTGTTGGTCTGTATGGATTACATCTCAGCTGACTATAATGCTATTTGAGACACCTAGTGCACATGTAGACATCTACAGCTCAGTTAGGTTCCCAAATGTTAACTTAGAAAGGGAGTTGTTTCCTGTAAATCCTCTGTTTTGTTCATCAGCCCCACATGGATGCCTCAGATACTCTTGAGCATCTCAAATGGCACTAGATACCTTTGTTTCAGCATAGAACTGAAGACTCTGGTTAATGATTTTATCTAATAGCTAGAGAATTGTGAGAACATTTTTTTCAGATAGAGAATAATAAGAGTTAATGAGCACTGCTATAATCACCACTCTTCCAAATATAAGTGTAACCTTACCTGAAAAAGATGGAACTCTGATCTGGGGACTTGCAGTCCCATCCCCTCCTTCACTGACTGCACAGACCTCAATGATGTAGACACCAACATCAGGAAGAAGTACCACCGCAGAGGTTTTCTGTGTTTCTATAACTTGACTGTTGCTCTGGCCTTCTTGCCTAAATAATACCTATGGTCAATAAAGTAGATAGTGGTCATAGTGGTCATGCAAGTCATATACCAGACATTTTGTTTACCTAACGCAGTCACTGAAATATTAACTGTTTCATGCTTTCATTAAGGATTTCTTGATGTTACATTTGACCAGTCATCTGTTTTTACTCTCCCCTTCCCCCAATAGCTTCAAAACATTAACAGCAAAGTATATTAGCAATTAATGAATGTTAAAGGACATTGATTACGATCCAGAGAGAAGATATAGCATTTGCCCCCTCCAGCATTAGATGTTACAAAATTTTTTCCCCAAACTTTCTTCTAAATGCATTTTGGGTTCCATTTGATTCAAATTCTTATCCCCAAATTCATGTAGATATTAACATTTTTGGCTCAAGAACCCAACTTCAAATGTAAAGAAAATGCTCTAAATAATGTCCTTGGTGTGTTTACCTTAGCTGGCTAAATCAACTGAGAATAGCTCAGATTTGTCCCTGCATCTCCTGTGAAACTCAGTACAAGCTTATGGTGCGTGGGAGGAAAGCAAGTAAGTACATAGCTGTCTTTTCTGTATAAGTTTCTGTTCCCAGACAAAATTGAAAAGGTTAGAGAGGTGTAAAAAAGCAAAGTAGTCAACTGAACTTTTTCAGAATCTCAGCTATTCTGATAAAGTTTAGAGCAGTTTCTGGTTTATTCGAAACATTTTACACTTTCTTAGTGATATTTCCTGATGTATCAGAGGGAATATCAGATTGTAGTTTATAGAAATGATCATCTATAGAAATGATATATGCTTCAAAAAAACCCCAACCACACCTCTGTAAAAACATTGAAATCATTCTGTTTTGATTTAAAAGATTGCAGTGAATTCCACTGCTTTTTATGGCTTGTTATTTAAGAGTTAATCTGGATTTTACTCTTTAAAACTTCAAAACTTCAAATGCCAGATGTTACTGTCACTGATTGTTGAACATCACCAACATGATCACAAAACAAACCAAAGTATTTGTGTTTATGCTCCATAAAAATAATAATTTTAATGTCATTTTAAGATGCTTCATTCTTCTGTATTTCTCTAAATCCTACTGCAAACACAGTTAAATTGAAGTGTTAGTAGGAATTTCACTGCAGACTGGTCTTATTAATAGCCACCTCTGAGTCAGATATGATGAACTGATCCCCTCAGACAGAGCTTACTCAGTTTATAATCAGTAGTTGAAAATCACAACACAGAAAATGTTGGGACATTTCGCTCTTTTCAATTTTATTTATCGCTTTTCATGGTGAAAACTGATTGCAGACAGTCTGTATAGCATACTTTACCTACACAGGAAAACAAGAAAGGGAAAAAAGCCAACAGGGAAGAGGAATAGTCATTTGGAAAAGAGAAAGGTGAGCAAGGAAGGGGAAGCACTGACCTTGTATCCCATTACATCAGATTCATTAGCTAGAGGTCTAACTGGCTCCCACCCAAGAGACACATGAGAGCCGTCCTGTATCCACATAATATTGCTTGGTGCTTGGCTGGGAGCTGAGGAGAAAAAATAACAACATGTACATAAATACAGTTTATAGGTAGTTTCTTTAAAATCAAAAGAAAAATATTTCAATCTTTTATTACATTTATAACTGGTTGTGTTAGCAGGCTCCCAACTCTACCTGGAATTTTAAAAGATTTTTTTTTCACCAGAATTGTCATTTAATAGATTGTGGTATTTACTCAGCCTACCCCATAAACTCCACAGAGGTTATGAAATTGAATTCTTTTCTGTCCCTTCTTTGTCAAAAATGCCTTGTTTTCTGAGAAGATAACCTTTGTTATGAATGCAAAGTCATATGAATTCATGTTTAAATATCAAAGCAAAACCATGAATCAAAACTATACATGATTCCTGATTATTATACACTCTTATTAAAGGAAAACCCAAGAAGGCAGAGGTTGCTCCCTGACTTCGCCCTTTGAGCAAAGGTACTGAGATCACTTACGGGACTTCTTGGTTGCTGCACGCACAGCAGTGCTAGGTGGTCCGTACCCTGCAGCGTTGTACGCCCTCACCGTTAGGTGATATAATGTGTTTCCTTCTAATCCTGTCAGGAGGATGGATGACTCATTTCCCTCAGTTTTGACCTTTTCTGCTGCTTCTTCCTGCTCCATGTCCTTCCAGTAACCAACCTGCCAACAAGCAACCAAGTGAAGGATTAATGTAGGCATCTGGGAAGCTCATGCTTCCAGATGCACATACTTGTTATCCTGTGGAGGGTCTTTTTGCCACTTCTGCCTTTTGTCTGATCATCAAGCCCTTTTAAACACGTGGGATTTGCATCCTAACCTCAGAACCAAGCAACGCTCACTTCTCCAAAATGGCAAGACTCAGAATATCACAGTATTACTTGAAACACTTTGAATTACTGTGTACTGGCATGAGAAAATGTAACTACAAGATGGAAGAGCAGAGGATGAACATTGGCAGGAAGTCAAAAGTACTTCAGAGAATTCATCGTCAGGAGAGCTCGTCGTCTGGTAGGTCATCAGAATATCTACCTTCACCCTGGAAAGCTCTGACCACATCAGTTAAGAAGTGTTGTGAGCAATATTCCCTTCCTGGCCCTGTGCAACTCAGAGCCATGAGATTTCTTATCAGCGTGATGAATAGGAAATGACAACACCGAAGGAAATCTTTCATTCACCTGAAAAATCTTATCTGAAGAAAAAGAAGGAAGTGGATTCTGTTTTAGTTGTTGGATATAAACAAATTTCTGGTAAATGCAGTTTGGATAGTATGTTTATGCCCTTCCTTTTCAGCCATAAAACCCTTAAATGACCTTTGGTGGTTCTTAGTCCATACTTCTGGTATCTGCAACTGAGTTTATCATAATCTCAATAAAGTTATAGAGCTGAGCTAGGAATTTGACTAGTCTCTTTCCTCAGGGACCAGGTATTTGCAAGGCATAACTGGAAAAAAGCAGTACTGTCTCTTTTAAATGTATCTAGGTGACCTACACAAGTAATCTCATGGGGCCATATTTTCCCTAACAGGAGATGTCACTAATGTGCCATTCAAAGACCTATATACAGCTTACCGTTATTCATGCTGAGACCTACTTGCATTTATTCCACATTTTGACCTTTTCTGTGAAGTTGGTTATTTCATAATAAGTTATTCATATTATATCCGGATAACTTCTCTGAGAAAAAGGTCATGGACAATACAGCACTCTTGTGCATGTATCCCAGAAAATGGCGAACCAAAAAAACCAAGGGGTTCATAGGAAAATAAGACCAATGAGTACAATGCTGACCTTTTATAATTGCACTAGGACTGCCATTTAAAAAAAATAAATCTAGAAAGACCTGGCTACAAAAATACACATTTGAGCTCATATCTTCACTTGAGTAAAGTGGCTCTGTTAACTTTGATTATATCAGTTTGTGCCAACTCCAAGTCTACTCTTTCAATTGTAAAATTCATGTAAATATCTTTTTTTGTGTGCCTGCATTATCTCATGTTAAAATGCTGTTGCTTTAATTCTTAGGTTAATTACAGCTCAGATAGCAAATCTAGCTGTAGTCACCACTTGTTGAAATAAGTGTGATTCACTGAGGTATTTTGCTAGCTGAATGCTTGACCAACCCTGCTGGTATCTGAACTAACACCTAGTCACATCTTTCTTGGAAAGAAAAAAGAATCCACAACCATTTATTCACACCCTAGGATTGAACCTCCAATGCTTATTATCTCTTGGGCAGTCAGATTCCTTTCATTTTACTTGCAATGCATCTTTACAAACTTGACACTACAGTGATGAGAGCCACATAGTATTAAGCACTGTACGAACAAGTAGTGAGAGGCAGCATGTGTCCTCGAGACCCTATCATCCAGTTAGTGAAGTCTGCTGAGCATCCAACAGGAAAATGGTCAGAAAGGAAAAGTGACTTGCCCAAGGTTATGCAGATGGACAGTAGCAGCAGTGGAAATGCAACTGAAATAGTGAAATCCTGGTTCTAGAAAGCCAGAAGCAAAATTATAACTAGCTCAATAGGTCTCATTGTGGTAGTTTATGCACAGGGCACACCAACATCTCATGTGAATGCAATATACAAGACAGTAGATAGCCCCCAGCTTTTGCACTGAAGCTTTTTCTTAGTATAAAGAAGTTGTGAAAACCTGATTTTCCAAATATTGGTGTTACGACTACGTAGATATTAAAACCTGATGAGTGTGGAAGAAAGCTGGCAGCATAACTCAGCCCTTTTGATATTTTTCATGTGTTTGGAAATGCTCTCCACTACTGCTTATATGGCATTATCAGTTTGGATACTAATTATATTTTGCACATCTTGGGTCTGCAAAAATAACTGTGGCATGTTCCCTACCAGTTCTGCTGCACCACGTGACAAAGGTGTTCTCCCTTGGCAAAGGGGTATTCTTGCGGGAATTAATATACTGTATTAAGCAGCAAAAGCATGAACTGCAATTTGGCAGTGCTTCTATTTCAGTTTCTCCTGTACTTCAAAGCCCTTAAGTGTTTTGTCCCTGCTTTTAAAATTCCCCTTAAAGTTTTGCCATGTGAGTTTGGACTTTGATCTCAAAATACATTTTTCTCTTTCTTTCTTAATGCACACATCCATTTGCTGATGGCCAAATGAACTAAAGGAAAAAATGGTTATAAAAAAAGAGAACTCCAATGATTGTTGACTGAGGTTGGTGGTGGGGGAACTTACATCAATTTGAACTGAAATGAAGTTACTGCTGATGTTTAAAAGTGCTGGACATATTTCTTAAAACAGAGGGTTTGTTTATTTACACTTCTATGTGTCTGTTTTTTTTAAAAATCTTGCTATTTTCTGTAATCTTAATTTATACTGCTCAGAAGGGATTTACCACACTTAGAGTAGGTTTTCATTAATGATAACTTTAACATTGATATAGCACAAAGCATAAATCACAAAAGAGTGGCCTATATTTTAAAAATAAAAGTGAGGAGAAAAAGCATTTGGGCTGTTTAATGCATTATTGTTTGTGAGGTTTTAAGCTTTTGCTGGGCTTTCTGTTGTTTTTCATCTGATTCCTAGAAATCCATGTCTTTGAGCTGGAGAGAAAGCAATAATGGTATTTAAACAACTGAATAGAGGAGATGCAGGAACATACAAGCTGCTTTGTCCTGATCGTGTAAATCATGCAAAGTAAACCATCACTTAAAAATATGTTTCCATCTAAAATTTTTCTATCTGTAATACTTACAGACAACTTCCTTGAAGTTTCATGTTAAAAGGTATCTTAAATATTATTCTTTTTCCCAAATTGGTTTCTAGGTTATGCATAATAGCATTTTGGTATAAATTCGTGGATCTATTTGCAGGCTCTCTTCTCTAAATTCAGTAGAGTCAGAGTTATTGTCTGGATACTCTCTCTGTTGACTACAGAGAATTAAAGCTACAAATTAGGCATTTCAAGTTAAGAGCCTAAGTTAGGTAGGACTAGTTGAAGTAGACAAACACACAAACTTTTCTCTGCTCTCTGATTGAGTCTGTACCAACATCAGCAGTACTGACATGACTGAAAATGAACTTGAAGAAGTATCAGAGTACAGAAAGTGCTCGGGGAGAAAGAGCGGTGAGCTGAAAGAACTGCTGCTAGCCCTAAAAAAATGATTCAGATTTCATAAAAACTGTTTTAGTTATCATTATCAGAAAACCTATCAGCTCCTTGAACTGACACATTGCAGTCATGCAAATGTTAGCGCTGGCACAACTGCAACGGTAGAACCAAGCACTTAGGACAGGAGAAGAGGTGCTTTTTGTATCATCTGCTGCTGCTTTTTGTATCATCTCTTGTATCATCTCAAGATACTCATGTGACTGTCCTTCAGAAGAAGGTGAGAGGTTCGTGCAAAAAGGCGGATCAACCTCTGTTCCTTCCCTCTCACCAAAACAATTGCTGACTGAAAAGAAGAAAAAAACCACTGTTCAGTACTCCTAGGTTCTGGAGTCTTCTCTGGAGTAGCTTGCATCCTCCACCTCTTTTCTCAGGTACTCTCTTCTCCCATATAGTCCTGCATGCACATGGGATGAAGACTGGTATTGTACCTCAACCTTGAGGACTACCATAATATATCTAGTCATGTTTTCTTATGAAAAATCAATAGTTGTCTAGGTTTCTGATTTTTAGGTAATAGAAAGCTAGTAGTCTTGTAACAAACTATTCATGATACAGACATTGCAAAGGATATGGCTCTCTTGAGGCCCTCATGAGAGATCTAGAGTGTGATCCATACCTTAAGGACTTGAAAAACAGTAGTACTGCTGTGCTATAAAATCCTGCTTATAGTCTTCAGGATTTTAGAGGTGTTTGAATTAGCATGCGAGTAACTTTGTAGGCAAAATTGACTCATATAAAACTATTCAACTGCTAATTTTGTGTTTGAGAAAATTCATTCATTCCAAAAGTGAAGTCTGGTAAATCAGTATTCAGGCTGATGAAACACCAATTCCTCTTTTTTCTGTCTTGCTTTACCAGCCTCTGGTAGAAACCTCCATATATTCTTTCTACATTACTTCAAGGTATACTTCACTAAATTAAAAAACCCCCACATTCCAGTACCTTGTAGACGTAATTTTCTGTTCCACTGTAAAAACAGATAAGGTACATCCAAGAAACAGCAAAAACTCTTGAATATTTCTCTTTGAAAAGACAGAATATGACATAAACAAGTTATTATGTCAAGTAATCCTCTCTGAAAATGGCATTCAAGAGTTTCTATTTTTTATACTTTTTTTTTGGTTGCAAGTTGATCTTTTGATTAGGCTAGTCAAGCTCCTATCCCTTGGGGGAATTTCAATGAAAAAGACATGAGCTTTGTGATCTATACTTAAGTAAGAGCCTTGGTTTTCTGGAAAATAAAAAAGAACAAAAAAAAAATCTGTTATTGCAGCTAGTAATTCTTTCCTTTTCCTTCCCCTACCAGTAGTGAATGACAAAGAAAATACTGCCTAGGGCTAAAATAGATTTTATAACCTTCAGGTTGTGGATTCTAAACAATAAGTATGAACCACACACTATATTTTTCTACAATTCTGACAAAGTTTTCAAGCTACTTCTACTTTGTCAGAGTGTAGCTGACATATATTTAGTAAGGTCGGGCGGACAGCTGACAAATCTGTACTGAAGTCAGGAGTAGTATGTGCTTCGGAAGATGCAAATGAGTACAGCAAACCTTGCATAAAACTCATGTGACATAACAGTTAACACTGTCTTTCAGGGATGACATTGGACAAGTTACTTTGCCTTTCATTACTCCTTAGTACAAAGTGCAAACAGGGCTGGAGTGAAACTGGGTCACTGCAGACTTGTCCATATGTAGTAAATATTCTGTCACTTTTGTTGTTTAGAGCCCAAACATAAAAAAATAGCCCCTCCTTTTATAATGCGGTTACTAAAAAGCCAGGAAATGTGAAGACCATGTAAGTGGTTGTCAATGCTGCGGTGACCACAGGCAGAATACAAATTGAGACATGAAAACAGAGTGGCTAGTCAGATTATTTTCCATTCAATTTGAATTGAAGGCAACATTTTACTTGTGGTACACAATAATTCTACATTAGGAAAAAATTGTTAAAAAAAAAGATAAATCATTCATCTTTTTATGAATGTCACTGGATTTCTGTACATTATCTATTTGCTATTTGTGGATTAAGGGACTACAGGCTATCTTCTGCACTGTACTATATATGATAAAACTTTCAAAATCAGTTTTTAAATAAAATAGTGTTCACAGAAGCTGAAGAAAGTGAATCATGTGGAAAGCATAAAGCTGCTCCACACTGTTTTTTTGGCAGGGAGTTTAGCCGCAGTATCGTGCTATACAGAGTCCTTCCTTTTTGCACTGAGGGGATGCTTTAAAGAGAAACTGTCAGGATGTTAGCAAAATTGGGCTGATAGTGTGGACTTAGTGTTCCTAAGTGAATACTGTAATGCACTGACTCACTGTACTGATCCTATAAGTCATTATCTCCTTTTTAATGAAATCCTTCCCAAAAATGGAACTGAAAAGATCTAGTAATACCATCCTCAGACTGCATTCTGTCCTGTTGAATCATGCAGGAGAGCAGCATTTACTCTTCTGTTTATTGAGTAAGGGCTGCTCTGATCATAATTCTTCCTGGGAATGAGGACAGAAAAGAGCAAAGCACTTCGTGAAAGATTCGTCTGTCAGAAAGCGGGCAGAGAAATTCTGGCTAAATGAACAAAGAGAGAAAAGGTGTGTGCAGGGGTGGGGGACGCAGAGAAAAAAAAAGTACCTTCTTCTCCCCAGATAAAAGTAGTACCTCAGAAGGCTTCTCTAAGTTCCTCATGGGAAGAGGTAGAAAGGAGCAGCGAAGTATTTTTATATTTCATTTTTTTGTTCTGTCAGCTGCGGGTCCCTGGCTTGAAATATTTACCCTGTAATCTTCACACCAGAATCCTAAAATTGGTGTACAGCACAGTGAGCAGCCAAATTATTAATAAGGTTCAATGTTAATTGTATCAACAACAATTTCCAAATTCATTCCTAAGAAGTCCATGAGAGAAGTAGAACAGGTGAGTATTGCAGCTGGGGTCAGAGTATGTTGAACTTCGGGGTCTAAACACTTTCTGAAATAGGAAGACCACCTCTGATATGAAAAGAGTCCACTGTCCTACCTGTAACAGCCTCCTATCACTGGGACACATCTGTAGAGCTAAGGGAAGTGTTATGTGACAAGCAGGTAAATGCAAAATACATTCAAATTATGAAAGAATAAGTTTCTAGAGAAATAATTTTCACTTTTAGAAAGAAAATCTATTTTTTATTTTAAAAATATGTAAAACAAAGTTATTAGAACATTTTGAGAATCAATGTGATCGATGGAATGAGGATAAGAATAAAAATAGTAGGTGCAATTTAAAAGACATCAAGATATCTGAGAGGGTGTTACAAAACAGCCACCTTTCTGAAGAGAAACAGACAGGGCGCAGCGAGTAAGTTATTTCAGAGGATAGAAGACTGGCCTGGAAATTGAAGACAAAGGTTAGTAGCAAGTGGAACAAGAATAGCATTTGCAAGGTGAATATCATCTTTATCAGATACAGTTTTGTTCTCTTTATATAGCAATTGTAAAGGTAAAACGGTTAGATATCACTTTTGCTGCATGAAGCAAGCCGTGTGCAAAGAGGTAAAAACATGTTTAATGTAAAGAAGAAGTGGGGATAAAGTACAAGAGAGTTTGCAGAGTTCAGCATGGAGATGTGTATGGGAAAGAGACCTGGACAAATGAGAGCCCTGAGGGGACACATCATGGTCACAGCCTGCTTGGACTGCACTGGAGAGCAATACAGGAGTATCTAAGTATCAAGCAGCTACAGAAAATCAGGTAAAAATATACTAACTGACTGTGTCTAAGCTGTGGGGTAAACATGCTGTCCTGGTGAAGGTCATCCAGCCTGAGGCTGTGCTGGAGAGTGTGTGTTGGCTCTGGTAGATGCCTGGGCATCTATGTTTCCTTCCTAAGGCCATCAGTGATGATCACCAGCACCCAATTCTTGTCCAGACATGTTGCCAGGGAGACACTCTGTGCTAGGAGGTCACAAGATGTCTGTAGACATCCATATCATTGGTATTTGCCTCAGATCTACATGTTTACCCTCTTTTCATTGTTACTGTAGAGAATCAGGAAAGCGTCAACACTCTCCAAAGGACTAAAGCAGGTTAAATAACCTGCACCCCAAAATCAGTAAATTGAGTCTAGCTGAGCTATTTCATGAGGAGCAGCATAGCCTGAACCGTAAGATTAGGATGGGTCGTGGTGGCCTCAAAGGATAGGTTTAGTTCTAGATCTGATCTGTTCCTGGAGGTTTGGATTGTAAACTGGATCCAAAGCTACAACTGGATCCAAAAGTGCGAGAAGGTCCGTTGCCAGGGCCAGTTCTCTTTCCCAAGTCAGGAAGGGCTGTCTCGAAGCAGAGCTTTATTTGTGGACGGTGCGGCTGCTGCTTCCCCTCCTGACATCCGACCTTTTATGATCTGCCCAGCAGATGTCCCCCGGCCACTGCGGGATGAGAGCACGTGGATGGCAGAGGCTCTTTCCTTTCTCTGTGTTGATTGCTCTTAGTAAATAACAAGTTTGAACTCGTCACTTAGAGCTGGAAACAGTCAATACCTAATCTTCCCCAGCCTGTGAAAGAGGCATGCTGGGTCACTTGCAGTTCTTTCAGCTCTTTTTGAAGTGTCAAAGAGATGTTATAAGAACTGGTTTTGAACAGTTTTCAAGCACAAATAAATAAAAGATGTTCCGGTGCTACAGCTGTGACCGTTGTTCTACAGCTAGTCATATGTATGCTAAACCGAGCATAATTTCTATTGAAGTTTCTCTACTGCACATGTTAACAGAATGCAACGCTAGCAAAAGCAACAAGACTTCTCATTATGATATTCTGTGTTCATACCTCAAATCCCTGTGGTCTTCCTAGGCTTTCTTTAATATGTTTCCACGCAACAAGAATCTCTGATACAGACAAACTCGTAGCTTTGACATCGATGGGAGCAGCAGTAGGCTCTGTATTAAGAAAAATTGAAACAATAAACCTCCACTGTAACAGCTTGTATTTGTCAAAAACACTCCATTTGAAACTGTCATTTACTTCCTTTATTCTACCTTAGTACTCACAAGAAGGTACGACACTTATGGGGAACATGAAAAACTGAACAAGATGAAGAGATTATTATTGTTGTATTTATTTATTTGTGTCACGCTACATCAATATCTCATCACTGACGATAGGCACAGCAAACTGTGACAGAATCTCTTGTCTTTTTTAAAAAAAAAAAATAATATTTGTAAATGCCCCCCCCTCCACACACCCCTTTCATAGCCCTTGATCAGCCTGACTTCAGCAGTAAATGGAGCATTCATTCTCTTCCTGGCTTTTTAGTGCTGTTCTGTCAGCTCAGGATGAGCGATACTTTGCCAGGGCGCTCAGTCAGTCCTGCTCCAGGGTTATACCGAGTAAGAAGTGATACCCAGAGGTGTGGTGAAATGCTACGTAAAAGAAATTTTTCGGACTATGTTATTATGTCCTTGAAGTCACAGGCACCAGTGTTTGGGGCATGCCGTCTGCCCTCTGCTGTGAAACATTTACTGTTTTAGGCCTGGGATGCACACTTTTCTAAAGAAGGCATCAAGACATAGGATTTGTCCCTGATTACCTCTGTGTTGTTACCATTGGCCCTATGTCCGTGTTTCTATTTCCATGCTATTCATAGGACACTCTGTAGTCCTGACCTCCTGGTTATCTGGCGCAGAGGACCCTCCCTGCCCTCCAACCAGGGCAGGTGTCCTTCAGTGCCGCTGGGGTATGGCCAGGGTACACACCGGAGGCTTGGGGCTGCAGGATGCTTTACATATCACACCTGCCCCACAGTGTTGCCACAGGCATGTTTTACCTTGTACTTTCATGTCATTGGCACTTTACAGAGGTCCAACTTCTTTTGGTGGTTGGGAAGTAATCTGGATAAACATACACAAAAATCTGCCATGACAGGCCGTTGAGCATAGCACTGATTTGTATCACCAGTTAGTGCGTTGGCGGTGAAGAGCATCCAAAAATTGTCACATATCAAACCGAGACATGAGTTAAGGAATCTTTTGGATCTTTTGCTTTATTACCTAAATGTTACTGAGAACTTGCTTAAGACAAGCTGTGGAGACAAGCCTTGAACACAGACAGTGAAGCACACAGTGACATTTCTCCACCATTCTGGTGTAGGTCACTTGCTCAGCAAAAACATGAATTCACATCCCCTGCAGTCGCAGAGCCTGTGATTTCTTCCTTGGCCTAACGTTCCTCATTACATTTCTAATGTGTTGATCTGCTCTCGAAGGGCTGGCAGAGGTCCTGGCTTTTATGCTATAGGGAGGCACATCAAAGAGCTTTCTAAAGAATATTTTTTTGGGGCTCATTTAACAGGGTTACAGAAAAGGAGTTTCCTTACAGAACAACATGTGTTAAAATGATACATTTTTCTCAGTGATCAAACTGCTTAGTAAAATGCCTAATATCAGTCTTAACTGATTAGCTACTCTCCTTTCTCTGATCATATTGCAGGCATTGTTCTGGCATTGCTGCCAGAACTTTTTCTGTGACATGGCTTGTACAAATTTTTCATCCATTTTGATGCCAGGTTTTTAATGTTTGCAGCTCTTTTTGATCTTCTTTTTATTTACTTCTAAAGAAAAGAAGCATTTCTGATGTGATGTAAAATGATGTTCACCAACAATGAGTATTACCAGTAAGTGTAAGATATATATGGAACTTTTCGGGTAACAAAGAATAAAAGAAAAATATCTCCAGGAATAAGTGAAATGATTTTCTGAATTCAATACTGAAAGAATTGCTATGAAGAAATATATTCCTCATAATATGATTTTCTCTTCAATAGTTACACCCTGCTTTCTATTTTATGTACTACTAAGATTTGTGTGGCAAAAGCTGTTTTCTAGTTTTTGTATTATTGAAGCAATTACCTTGTTGTCAGAAAAGATTGCAGTGGGATAAATAATTTGAGATGTACACAAAATGTTGGTTGGCAGCCTTTACACTTTCTATAAATGTAGAAATCATTTCCTCTTCATAGCATTCACTAATGGGTGGTTTATGTATTGCTCAGAATAGAAACCCAGAGTATTTTCTGATATTTTAAAAAATGGTTTTCGACAAATGGAGTAGAAATAGTTTTGATTTTTTTATGTGAAGAAAATGCATTTCTTACATATTCAGAAATTATTCATTGCAGTTTCACTGATATTAGACATTGAGAATATAAGTGTTCAGCAAAAGAGCAGAAATTATATATTTAGGAATTAGGTATATTATGACTGTCTGAAAGTTTATAGAGACTAAATAGCATTTTTTATTGATTTAGATAAGATGAGGACTATATAATTTCTGGTCATATAATACAGACCGTGGTTCACTCCAATGTCATGCTTTATTCTGTGTGTCTAAAACTAATGATAAGTTTGACAGGTTCATTAGGTTTTTCTGTAATGGTCACTGATGTTATAATCATATTCTTTTCTTAATATCTTGGCATTATGCTAAATCTATTGGTGTCTGCCTGAGGTCATACTGATTGAAAAAAAAAAAGGCCAATGTCTTTAATGGTCCCCTTAATATACCCTGATTGAGTTAAAGATGCAGCACGGCAAGTTCTCAAAAGGCTGTCCATGAAACACTGTCTTTCCATGTGCTGCAAACACACTTTAAGGAAACGTGTTCAATCTGTAGGTCTTTGGGATGGTTATAATAAAGCAGGACAAGGAATTACACTAACTGCATTGATCTGATGTTCAGAGAAGGAATCCTGAATTTTGATACTGGCAAGTGAGAGAAAAAAGAATTAGTTACTAGCCCTCATTGTGTTCTCCCTATTTATGACCATAAACTGTTTTTCTGAAATATTCATCCTTAAAGGTTTCCAAATGATCTAACTTAAAAAACAAGTTCAAGAGCCTATTCATGTTTATGTTGTTTTAACTCTCCTGTGGAACAGAGCCTCAGTCAGGACTCCTCGTTCAATCACCTAATATCCATTCACTTCTCATTTTTACTTCAGAAAGGATTTTTACACACTTCCCTAATTCAAAATCTGATTTCTCATTTGAAGCTGAGAACCTCAGCCTGGGTAATTGCATTATGACTCCAGGCAGTTCCACATAGTTGAGATTTTGGGACTTCAGCCAGGACCCATGACTGCGATAATTCCTTTCTGTGGAAAAATCCACAAAAGAGATCTATCAGAAGGAAAATCACGAGAAGTCATCCCTCATGTGTCAATTGTAGGTGAAGAAAGTGGTAGCATTTGCTCCCTTGCTGGAAATAGCCACAGGGAGTATCTTCCAAATCAGGGGCCTCTAGTGAACCGTTTCCATTCCTGAGAAAAGCCAAGAGACATTACGCTCAGCTCCACCTCTCAGCCTGTTTGATGTGTGTCCCTGGTTTGGGAACTCCACCAGATTTGTGGTGGTATGGCTGCCTACAGGATAAGATTATCTCCAGAATATTGCTAGAAAGGGAAAAGATGTCTGATTTCCAAAACACCAAAAATGAGATGATTGATTGTTTCCTGGACAGGCCCTTGGACTTCTCACTTTTCCTCAAGTCCTTTTGATTTTCACTTTCTCTCTGACCAGTGTCTTTGCAGAGGACTTTAAAACAGAATAAAATTAGAAGGGTGAGGAAATGAGCTAGCAGTGAAGGAGTGATCAGGCCTGCAGTGCTGACCTCTGCCCTGGACCTCTTTTATTTAGTGGTGAAACACCCTTACTTGTCAGGCAGAGCTTCTGAAGCCTACTCCTGCAATGCTGCTCTCCTGCACACTTGCTCACGGTATACATCCTGCTGCGCTCTCCCTTCGCCATGGAATAACCAGGATTTATTACACAGTGGAGCGTCACGTGGGAATAAGGAGCTGCCTTATTCCACGAAGGCTTTACCTACACGTTACCTACACACGGCTCACTCACCTTGGCACGCAAGTAGAAGCTGGACAAGCAGACTGATAAAATTCAGGCTTTGTTAGATTAAAAGTTCAGCCATCTTCATGAGCATAAATGGTTCATTTCCACCAAGTGACGTGGCAGCCAGAGTTATCCCCAGCACGTGAACAGGGGATGTGCCTATTATATTTATTGCATATCTGACTTCCCGTGGGGGCTAGTGGCATTAATCAAAGGAATGCTTAATAAACTTACATGTCAGGATTGTGATTTTGTTCTTTAAAAAATCAGCGGACACAGCTCTAGCTGAACTTTTACAGGATCTAATCCAGATGGATCAGCTGGCAGAAACAGGAAATAATCCACTGTAGTTTACAGCTAATATGACGATTTATTAATTTTCAGGTTCACCTAAACACCAAGGAGCTTGGCTTTAGCTATGAAATGAACCACAGGACTTCACTTCATGAATGTAAGATTTTAATTAAAGACATGGAGGCTGTATTAAAAGTGTGTAATTGCATATTCTTTCCTCTAAATGAAAAGGAAAAGGTAATTTATTTGTTTGTTTAAATAAGGGCTCAGGGTGAAAAGCAAGAGGAGATAGGCCTAACCAGAACAATCCTTCACTCTGCAGTGTCTTATTTAATATCACATCATCCACTAGCTGGCCTGATGCAAAACTTCTCAAAGTTATGAAGGAAAAAAATTGCAAAGGCTGTTATATGGCCCTTTGCCTTTCAGATAACCGAGAGCTTCGGTTCTCCATTGGCTCAATGAATTAGTACACATCCATACAAAGCAAGAACAAAAGCTCTGTGCACTATCATTACATCTTGTATGTATTACAGAAGTGCATCTGAGGTCTCTCAGGAGGCTTTAAAGAGCAAGATTGAGAGTCTTCAGGTTTTACCTTCTACTGCTCAGGGCTCTCTTTTTCATATCTAGAAGTTTTTAGTAGTATTCACTACGCTGTTTATCAAAATTATAGAACTTTCAATTTTTGTGAAGATAATTTTGTCAGGTGCCTGAAGGACAATATAGATGCTGAAACTAAC